TCCGGTAACTCATTGCCCGACCCGATCTGTCTGTGAGACTCGTTGGTTTGCTGGATGGTTGGGTCAGATTGCTGAACCGGTCTGATCTGATTCTTATTTATATATATGCTGCACCGCTTCATACATTAATTGCACTCATTCACATCGCGATTCCCTCTCTGAGTCCCAGTTCTCCTGACGTGATTCAAGTGCGATTCCGTCGTCTTCGCTAGTGTTCTCCAGTGACTTTGTCCGGCGATTTGGGAAGTTCTCCTTGTCCTTTAATGCGCACCTTTCCCTTCGGTGGTTTCATGGTTTGGTTAATTCGATTTGGGCCTTTTTTTGTGTCTTGCGATGTATATGTTCTTCGCGGTGTAAATAGGCTTGAAATCGTTGATGTTTCCTTAGATTGGGTTTTGGTTTAACGAGATTGTTGCATTTCCATGGCGTGTCATTTGTGGTCGGGGTCTTGGATGTGTGTGATGTCGGTTTTTTTTTTTTATATATATATTAGGATAATCTGAGTCCGAACGATTGCTTCCTATATAAATCTAAATTTTCATCACAATTTTGTTCGATATTGATTTGGTTTCAAGAAAATACTGCTTAGTCGATCTTGGATTAGGAATAACAAAATGTTTGAATAATATTTATAACATGATTATTTAATCATCAAAAAAAGAAAAACTATCCTTATGAATATGAAAATGGGTGTGCCAAATGTCCACATTATTGTTGATCGTGATTAATATGTTTTTATAATTTACTTTTTCTTTATTATTATTATTATTATTATTATTATTATTATTATTATTATTATTATTATTTACGTTTTAAATAAAAATTTCATCCCTATGTTTATTAAAATAGTATATATAATTTTTATATTTGTTTACAGAACCATTACAATTTTAAAATTTGAGCGTACAATATTTTGTTAGCACGAGAGTGGGTAAAACAATGTATACACATCTCCACCTTAACATACATCATTGTTTACATAATTAGACTATGTTGTGATGTAATTTGTTGATTTTTCATTTCTTCGTGTTCTGATTCAAAATTAGACAAAACTACCAGTTATTTGACTATTTACACTACTGCAAATGCTCAAATTTTGTAATAAAAAGCCCTTTGTATCGATTTTAATGCGGACTTTGAGCGTTAAAAAAATGGAGTAATAAAAAGTCTTTATAGCAGCACTTTCAATAAGGAAAAGTTTATGGCCAATGTATTCCAAAGGCATATGAAAAATTTATTTGTAACTATTTTTGCTATGCAACAAAATGTTTAGATCATTTTTTTGTTCCAAATTTATCGGTAACAAAAAAGTCAATATTAATAATTATTTTTTGTGAAAATAACTTCTTATTGTAATGTTTTTTGTAACAAAACAAATATTCTAAATACTTCTTAGTCGTTAAAATAACTATGGTTATAAAATTTTACTGTAACAAAAAAGACGATATGAATCTCCCTTTTTTTGGCCATTTAAGGTCATTTAGGGCCTTAATATGATTTTTCTTCTTTAGGGCCTTTTTTAAAATTTTAATTTTTCTTAGTTTAGGTTTATTTCTTTTAGAATTTGGTTATTTGCACTTATAAATGTTTTGGATTTTGTCTTCCTATTAAACTTTTCCGTCTTATTGAAAACATTGTTGAATCTTTGATTTACCAACTCTCCTTTTCTAGCTATCTCAATTCGTGAAATCGATATCATGTTGAAATATTTTAAATTTGTAAATTTGAATAATTTTTTTCTAATATATATACATGAAATGAATACCGGAGAATTTTATGTATTTATTTATTCATCATTATAGTCGTGTGGCTGTTAATTTTGCAAATTGTATATAATGAGATAAAGATCATATAGGATTATAATAATACAACTAAAAGTTTCAACCGTTACAATGATAATTTAATTTTTATTGCCTACTAAATAAAATTAATACAAGATATACAAAGATTGTTTATTACAAAAAATAATGTTCAATACTTCTTCCGTCTGGATCTAAGGGTCTCATTTATCTTTTGTATCATTTTACTTAAGACTAAAAATACTTTATATTTGTATAATATTTTGCACTAATGTCATTATAATAATAATATAAGACACTAATAAAAATAGTTTTTGCCATTTTTCTTAATTTCTACTACGTTTTGATATAATAATTAATATTCAAAGATCAACACGCAAAAACAAATGAGACCCTTAAAGTCAACGGAGGTAGTACTATTTTCCACATAAAATAAATAAGTTGCAACATGGGTAACATCCGCACTATCTTGATATTATTTTGACTAGTAAATATTATTAGTAATAAATCTAATTGACAAGATAAATGATGATAACATGGATTTTGAATATTTTCTTCGAACAGTTCCTATAAGCATATTCTTCTTATTGATTAAATTTGAGCTTAATTGTATCGAAATCCATAAAAATAATGCGTTAACCATTTTTTCATCATTTGATGTGCTTTGATATTTTTTGGTAATTTCAGTCACGAAGTACAACTGTGGTGGACAAAACTTGTATATGGATAAAGGTTGAAATTATGATGTTCACCAATGGCAAATTTATTGTTCAAAGTTTGAAAGCGTACATGTTGTAACACATCAAACTTTGGATTGACTTACCCTTAAAAGGTGGCCTCAATTAATCTAACGCGGGAGGAAGATCAATTTTGTATCTGCTACATTGGAATTCTGAGAAACAATGTGTAGCTTTAGGTTTTATTATGTATCATAGTAGATTTCTATATTGTTTTTAAACTTAACTTGATTTCAATTTTCTTTATACTGGACAATAATTCAATATTTGGCAAAAATGAACTTTCTTTTAAAATGAACTATAATATTTCGAAGCAACGACGGTTCGGACAGTTATGACACCCAGTAATACACAATCTTTCATGCCCGAAAAGGTAGAGATTTGTGATGAAATTTTTGGGCCAATGAAATAAAAACGTCACATCTCACATTAATCGAGAAGTGACGGTAGGGAGTCGGGGGGAGGAGACAAATTGTTATATATTAAAATATTTTAGAGTTTTATTGGGCCTGTAAATGGATTCCAACGTTTGGGCCCGCGGATAAACCCAAAAGAAAGTGGGCTTTCAAACACCCATTAAGGGATACGGTCTACCAGTCGGTAGCCTGGTTGGTCAGTCGGTAGCCTGTCTGGTCGGCTGGTCAATCAGTAGCCCGTCTGGTCGGCTGGTCAATCAGTAGCCTGTCTGGTCGGCTGGTCCGTCAGCAGTCTGTTTGGTTGGCTAGTCGGTTGGTGGCATCGAACGCAACCGAAGAGCGGTTCTTCAGGCGGTCACAACCTTGAGAGGGTTCCTCAGGGCAGTTACAACCATGAGACGGTTCCTCAGCAGTTACAACTGACTGCGCACACGATCCGATAACCGACTTGGAGGACATATAACACGCACCTCGCGTCCGGCAAAGGGCATTTTCAATCAGCATCAATTTTAGTGAAATTCACTTTGGGGATCATCCTTTTATCTTTCAGTATCCGTTGTTTTTATTTATATTTTTTTACATTCTGTACGGTATCTAGGGATTTACAATTTCAGATATTATTATAGTCAAATTTGAAATTAATTTTCGGATTTTACTTTTTATTGTTGAAAGTAGCATCAACAGTATGAATTTGTGAGATTAAACTATGTTTTGATTTATATTATTTCTTGGATCATAAGTATTTTTGTGATTTATGATTATAATGTGTAATAATATTTGATTTGATTGGGTATTGTCACCAGGTATTTCAATTAGATTAAAATTTAATTGTTAAACTAAATTAGGCGTCTATAATTGCGTTTTAATTTAGTTCAAGTAGCAACTAGGGGCAGGCACCACTAGGAAATCACATAATCAATTTTAAACAGTTCTGCATAGGTAATTGTTAAATGGAATTAGACTCTTATAGTTCGCAAAGCGGTTAGGCTAGTAAATTCTTTGTGGCGTCACTAGGTTCTAGTCTAATTAGGGAAGCAATTGACGGGCGTATATAGACCGTCGAGAAATTAAGGAATAGTTGGTTATTAGACGCGTGTCGGTAACTATAACTAATTTATTTAAAAACCAATAAAATTAAATATTTATCAATGACCAAATCCACTATTCAAGTTGTCAATTTTATTTATAGACTGAAAGCCTATTTTTATTGAATTTATCTTTTAGTCATATATTTTTATTTTGTTATTATTATTTTTATTTCCATCTTTCAAAACCCCCACTTTTATTATATCTATATATTAAACAAGCGAAAATAAAAATTTTTTATTCCATGAGGAAATGACCCTACTTCAGCTATACTACGTTATTTTTATCGTGGAACTAGGTTTATTTTATTTAAATTTTGCAGCGTGTACGAACCTCTGTCAAAATTTTGGCGCCGTTTCCGAGGAGTTTAAATTAGTTAATTTATCTTTAGTTGTTTCATATTATTTAAATTTTTTGACTTTTTTTGTTTTATGTCGAGATCTGATCGCACTGGAATCTTGAGTTTCGATCCCGATATTGAGAAGACTGCGCGTCGATTGAGAAAAGAAACTAAGGAACGTCGCCAAAAAGATTTAGCTTCATAATCATCTAACGATTTTAGTTTTGACGAGATCGAGCTAGAAGAAGATATGGATCAAAGGACACTGAGGGAGCTGGCAGCTCCTAACTTGACTAAGCAACATCTTTGCATCACATACCCGACGGTAGATGGTAACACTGCTTTTGAATTAAAATCGAGACTAATCAATTTGTTGTCTTCTTTCCATGGTTTGTTAGGTGAAGAGCCGCCGCATAAGCATCTTCAAGAATTTGATGTCATATGCACAAGTATGAAGCCACCATGAGTAACAGAAGATCAAAATCAAGCTTTGTGTCTTTCCCTTCTCACTGAAAGATGCTGTGAAAGATTGGCTCTTCAATCTACATGCCGGAAGTGTCACTACATGGACCGAATGAAGAGATTGTTTCTCGAGAAGTACTTTCCTACCTCACGAGTTACCATCATGAGGAAAGAGATATGCGGAGTCAAACAACATACATGAGAGTCTTTATTTGAATATTAGGACCACTTTAATGCTTTACTTATTCGATGTCCTCATCATCAAATCCCCTTACAATTACTAAGTCACTATTTCTATGAAGGTTTGAATTCCATCGGTAGGAGAATCATAGACGCAACAAGTGGATGCGCCTTGATGAACAAAACTCCTAGAGAGGCGTGGGACTTACTGAATAACATAGCTATGTACTCACAACAATTCGGACCAAGAGAAGTCGTAGCAATTAAAGAAGCAAGCGAGGTAAGTTCTATACAATAACAATTGATTGAACTAACTTCATTTGTTCGATAATTTGTTTTAGGGAAGACACAAGTTAAGGCTTGTGGGATTTGCACAAGTCAGGAACATCCGAATGATATTTTTCCTACCTTAACTCAAGAAGTAGATGTCAATGCTGCGAGATTCATCCCAACAGCATACAATCCTTACTCGAACACCTACAATCCAGGATGGAGAGATCACCAACATTAAAAGTATGGGAATCAACAAATTAACTTTGGAGATCATTCGAGAGGATTTCAACACCTAAACACCATCCACAACCCTCTCAAACAGTTCTGAGTAATTCCTTAGAGGATATGATGAAAACTATGGCGTCTAACATGTTGCAATTTCAACAGGAAACTCGGAATAGCATAAGGAACTTGGAAGAACAAGTAAGTCAAATAGCGAATGAGATGTGCGAGATGAAGTCAAGAGAGAAAGGTAGATTGCCCTTACAACCCGACGTCAATCCGAGGAATGTGAGCTCAATTGTTATACAAAATGGAGAAGATTCGGAAGTATCAAAGATTCGAGTTCCAAATGATAAGAATGAAAAAAACATTGAGAAAGAAATAGAGCAAGCCGCAAATGAAACATCGCACAAGGTAACTTCCAATACACCTACTAATACTAAAACTAATGTTGCACTGTTTCCTTGCAGGTTGGCGAAATCAAAGAAGAATGACAAAAATAAGGAAATGATGGAGATGTTTCAGAAGGTGGAATTGAAAAAACCCTATTGGATGTGATCAAGCAAGTTCCGAAGTAAGTAAAATTTCTGAAAGAACTTTGCGCGAACAAGAAGAGACTATGAGGAGACGAATACATTATTGCTAGAGAGAGCGTATATGCCGTTTTACAATGTAAGCTTCCTCTTAAATGTGGAGATCCAGGAATGTTCTCGGTTCCTTGTAAGATAGGTAAGTTGAAGATTAAACGAGCAATGTTAGATTTAGGAGATGTAATTAATGTGATGCCTAAGTCTATCTACAAATCTTTGAATATTGGACCTTTTTAAAAGAAATTGGGATTATTATACAATTAGCAAGTGGGACAAATGCATATCCTGAAAGAATAATTGAAGATGTCCTAGTGCAAGTTGACGAATTAATTATTCCGGTTGATTTTTATGTGCACCACACAAACTAAAATTAATGTGAAACAAAGTATGCTTTCTATGGAATTTGCTGGTGAAAAATGCAATTTAATATTTTAGATTCTATGAAATACCTTGAAAAATCTAACACTTTGTATAGTGTGAATGTTATTGACAGAAATATACAAGGAGTTTTGGGATTGCACGATAAATCTATTCTGAACATAAAATCGAAACCCCCTCCGAATCAGTTGGAACCTGTTCACATAAATGATGATATGAATCTTGCAGAGAAATTTTTTTTTTTTGAGTAATCATCGTTTTAAACATGGAAGTAAAAAACGAAAATTGAAGTGGGTAAGACGGTCTGAAGTAGTGCTACCTAATGGCTAATATGGTAACTGCGTATAGCTGAAGACGTCAAAGAAAGACGCTTCTCGGGAAGCAACTTAAGTTTTCTAGTTTTATTTCTTTTATTTTGTTTAATTTAATTTAATTTATTTATTTTTAATCATAGCATATATTTGATTTTAATTTTTTTATTTTTATAGGAAAATCTTCATGGAGAATTTTGGCAAAAAATAAAATAAAATAATCTAGTTATAATGTATATTTTAGTCATGGTCAGGACTAAAATATATGAGTCACACTGCCTAATTTTTTTTAAGTGACCCAATTTCTGATAGATAGTATTTAGTCATGGCCATTGCTGTGAGTCGCAGACTTCCAACCGTCAAATCTTACGGCGATCGAGGCGTGGGGTTTGAAAATTAGAGGAAAAGGGGCAAGTTGTTAGTACAAATTTCAAAATTAAGGTTTTCTGCCCAAGAGGAGGGAGAGAGTAGGCCCAGTGATGAGTCCAGCAGAATGTTCAAATCAGACACAGGTCGGGATAGACTGATGGGACCTGAAGGGGGCCCATAGAGGTTGTTTGAAAAATTGGACGGTTGATTGTGTGAAAAGCTCAACTTACTGGAATTTCTTGGACGGTTGGTTTTGGAGGAACTGATTTGGAACTACTGAATTGGTCGGTAACAGTTTTACATGACCATGTGCTAACATGGGATACACAGATTGTAACCGACAATGGTTCAATGCACGATCTTGGTAACCGACCCAGGGACGGTTCTAGACAGTTCTGATGGGTGTGTATATCAACGATTCTTATGAGAAGATTAAGACATCTTCAACCAACAACGATTTCATGAGAATCTCATTAGGATCATCGTTTTTACATTCTTAGTTGCCTTTGTGTTTCATTTATTAGCTTTTTGTGTGCTTTGTTTAGGGATATGTGATCCCGGACACTTTTCAATTCAAATTCGAAGTATATCTCCAAATTTCACTTTTTATTATTGAATTTCTACATAACAATATTTATTTATATAAAATTTTAAAAGTATTATATTTAATAAATTTAGTTTTATTTATTTTGGGAAATCCATATATATGTATACTATATTTTATTATTGAATTGAATATTAAGAATTTTATATTTGTATTTGATTCATATTTGAATCAAATTGAATGTTTTTATTCAAATTAAATTCATAAAATTTTAAATGAGAATATCAAAATTTTGAGGCGAATAGCAAATCAAACAAAATTATTTAATTCATTTACAACCGTACTCCATAGTATCTCTTACCATGGGCCATGGATGTACAGTGTTTAGGTACAAGTATAAAAAACGGGTCTACATGTTTCGCTTAATTTTTTTTTTGTTACGATTGCAGAATATTCACACGGATAACGATTTTCAAATCGTATACTTACCAATTCTTTTGCATTGCCCACTGAGAGGGAAATGAAACCGATCGACTGCACCGAAGAATTGGTTCGGGTTTTGTTTCAGAGAGAATAGTATGTAGTGAGTTTTTGCCTTACTCCACTATTCATAGAGTATACATAAGTATATTTGTTGAAGAAAGTAAATAGAACAAGAAAGGTTATAGATATATATATAATACTTATGTATGCATATATATATATATATGATATCGAAATATTCAGTATTTTTTAATACTTCTTCCGTCCCATAACAAAATATCCATTTTTTCATTTTAGTCCGTTCCATAACAAAGTATCCATTTCAATTTTTTAGTAATCGTACTATCTACCTAACATTACAAATATCCTTACAACTTACAATATATTACACAAATGTCATTACCTTTATATCACACATACTAATAAAGTTATTTTAGTCATTTCTACTTTATTCCTACTATATCCCAATATAATACTAATGAAAAAAGCAAATGAATACTTACTTATGGAACAAAAAGAGTATTTAAATATTAAAATAAAGACAAAACTACTAAAAGGGAGCTCATCTAAATCAAATCAGAAAAGAAAAGTACATATCAATTTATTATAAATGAGTAATGAATATTAACTTATTATGTATAAAAAGAATTTAAAGTTTAATTTTCCCTTAAATCATTATAATATTTAGCTTTTTATTTACTTATAATAAAATACAAAAGAAATAAATAATACTCCACTATGAATGAACACTGATTATAAAGCTTGTTTTTTAGGATTATGAATTTTGAGTTTGAGATTTTGAATAATAAAAATTTTAAATTAAAATATTTATATAATAAAATATAAATAGATATTAATATTATATTTTGAATGTAAAATTATTTTTTAATATTATATAAAAATAAAAAATAAACATTTAATTTCATGTTTTTTTTAAAAAAAATTTAAATAATAAAAATTTGAAAAAATTAAATAATAAAAATTAAATTAAAATAATTATATAATAAAATATAACTAGATTTTAATATTATATTTTGAATATAAAATTATTTTTTAATATAATATAAAAAAATAAAAAATAAATATTTAATTTTTATTTTTTAAAAAATTTAATAAATAATAAAAATTTGAGAAAATATTCCAAATAAACACACCTTTAAAAGACTTCAACGGTAAACATGAAAGGAAGCCCGGAATTCACTCCGTCCACACAACAAAATTACATTATCCCTTTCCTACATTACCCTAATATTCTGCTTCAATCAATGAGTTGATTTGATTTGACTCCTCCTATCCATCCTATTCTTCTCTGTCATCATCTTCTACACGCATTCCAAAGCTTCCTTTAAGCGTTCGTTCCAAAAAACTAAAAGAAAGGGGCCAACTTGTTGCTTCGAAATCACTGCAAATCTGCATCTGCCATTTCTCCTCATCGACAAGAACAGCAGACAAGAGAAAGGGAAGGGTCGATAGGGGAATTCGTGTGGAGTGGGTGAAGGAAGGATCTAAAGGGGGCCTGAATTTCAATTCAAATCCCCTTCGACTTTCTTTCACCCGGAGAGAAATTCCTCCTCCATTGTTGTGTCTGTTTTCAGACGAAGATAAGAAGACCTTTCCTTCAATATTTTCTCCTTTGCTCTGATTTTGATTTTATTTTATATCTCCAGTCTGCAAATGTTTGGTAGATTATCTGCAGTAATAAATAAACTGTTCATTCAGACAGACAGAAGGAGAGTCTGATTAGATAGGGTATTGCTCCTGCTTTTGCTTTTTTAGCCTTTCAATTCAATCAGATGTGTGATCAATCAATCGAGTTTCCATTCTTTGCTGAATAATCATAATCCTGTTGTAAGACGTTCCGAACGAGGCCCACAATTTGGGTTAGGTGGGCTTCGTTAGAAACGCCATTACCCTTTCAATTCTTGGTTGATTCATTCTTGTTAGCTTTTTTTCTTTTCGACTTAACCTTTATAATATATTCTTGATTATCCTAAATACATATATATATATATATATACACGTGTGTGCAGTGTAGTGTGTGTCGAATTGATAATTGTAGACGATCGGGGAGAGAGAGAGAGAGAGAGCGAGATAGATCTTTTCCAATGTATTTCTTGCTGATCACTTGCTGCTTCTCTTTCCTCATCTTCCACAAATCTCTTCTTCCCTTCAAGTTCAAACCCTTGTGGTTTTGGAGAGAAATATGTTGTCTTTCGATTACCCGATCCCTTTTTAGATCATCCTCATTCATTTTTGATCCCTGCTCCAGCAACAAGAAGAAGAGTAATATTAATAGCAGCAGCTCCAAAGCGGAGAGCGACATCAGATCGAGGGAGATGTCCTTCCTGGACTTACCCGACCTGGTACTGGAATGCATCCTGGAAAAGCTCCCTCCCGAGGGGCTCTACAAGATGTCGAATGTGTGCAGTACGTTGAGGGAGAGGTGTGTGAGCGATCACTTGTGGGCGAGACATCTCAACTCCAAATGGGGCAGAATTGTGGGCCCTGCTGCTGCTTATAAACAATGGCAGCTCCATGTTGCTTCCAAAAAAGTGTTGTTTGATCAACAATGCAATCCAAACGGCCTAATTGGATACCTCCTCACAACCCTCTTCTTTCCTCTTACATCCAATTCCAATTCCAATTCCAACTCCACTTCCATGGATTCTTCCATCATGTACTGCTACTTTGCTCTTCAGTCTGGAAAATTGTGGTTCCCGGCGCAGGTCTATAACCGCGAGGTTGGTTGGCTGGTTGTAAATTAGATTACTTTATTGTAAATTTGAATTTGAATTTGAATTTGAATTTGAATTTGAATTGTTGCAGAATGGTCATGTTGGATTTATGCTGTCGTGCTACGATGCAGAGCTGAGCTACGATCCGAAAACTGACACTTTCCAGGCTAGGTGGAGATGAGATTTGCTTGATCATATAATTTAATTTAATTTAATTTCCATATCTCTTTGAATTTGCATTGTATATATATGGAATGGAAGATGATGGAGGTGAGGTGCAGATATCCGCCGCACGGGAGGAGACCGTTCGCTGTGGAGACGGGCATAACGTGGGACCGAGTGAGGGCTCCACCTGTCCAAACGTCGCCGCACCAACTTCATCCCTCCGATTGCCTAACCGCCTTGCGACCGGGCGATCACGTCGAAATCCAATGGAGAAGAAACAAAGAGTTTCCATATGGTATGCATGCATGGGACAACATACATATGACCAAATCCTATGAATGAATTAGTATTAAATTGGATGACATGCTTACAATACAATTCAATTCAATGCAGGTTGGTGGTATGGTGTGGTAGGCCACTTGGAGACTTGTGATGGCAACGCCACTTACTGCCGATGTCAAGATAGTGGTCAGTTTCTTTCTGCCTGCTTACTCCACACTGCACCAATTTTATTACAAATATTTCTTGCCCTATTATAACAAATTATGTCGATCCTAGACTTGTGAGTGATTGTTGATTCGACAATTTTGATGTATGGGTGTGAAGGGGTATGCAAATTTTTGGTGAGAAATAATGAGAGCAATAAATATGGTGTGGTGCAGACACTCTGGTGCTGGAGTTCAACCATTACGCCCGTGGTTCGCGGTGGAGAAGAACCATCGTGAGCCGGAGGGACCATAGGGAAGAGGGGAATGCTGCCGAGGGATTCTACGGGGGAGTCCGCAAACTCGCCAGCACCCAAGAGATTTCCATGTGGAGAAAGTTCTGGCCTTCACAAATCCTTGAATAGGTTCTACTCTACGAGTACCGTCTATTCTTATCCACCATCGACAATGCTGGCCGGATGAGGTAGCTTAGAATCACCCATCGCACACAACACACAACATATCCATATATATCCGGCATCGGATCTGAAGCAGCCCATAGATATATATATATATATATATAGGATTTTGCAGGATCTATATATGATTTAAAATGTCGATTGTATTTAAGGGGTAAATTTTTGAATTTTTGGTGAATTATATATAGCATGCTCAACTCTAACTTTGCTAATATCCATGTGCGAACAAATCAAACACATCCTCTTATTATACAACATAATCTGGACGACGCTATTATATCAAAAAAGAGAGTTTCAACAGACTATGTCGCCGGAACACTGGCTTTGATCAGCTCCCACATCGATGCAAGTAATGTTGGTCGGCATCTGGCTTGCGGCGTACTCTCCCAAAACGATCAAAATGCAGCTCCGCTCGACGGTGGAGTTGCAGGAGCCTTGCCTGGGAATTAAGGGTATGGGGCACAATCTGGCTGTGGCTGGACATGGAGAGAAAGTGGCAGCCAACAACACTAGGAATAATAGGATGGGCACAAGGCTCGCTGACGACCAAGAATTGCCCTTCATCGTTTCGCAACTGATTCTTGTAGTGAGAAGAAGAACGACCACAATAAGGATATATGAAGAAAGTGTGAAATGCGGTGCGGTGTATTACCGCTGTAGACACGAGAATTTATGTGGAGTATAATAAGTAAATAATTAAAAATGTATTAAAAAAAATTAATTTTAAATTAAAATTAAGAAAATTAATCAGTATAATTAAAAATAAAAAAAGTTATAAAATAAAAAATTTTTAAATAAAATTAAAATGTATAATACTCTAAAAAAGAATGAAAGTGATAGAATAAGTGGGATTGACAAAAATAAAAATATCAGACACGATAAGCGGGACGGACGGAGTAATTATGTAGGTTTGAGAGAGAGAGAGAGAGAGGGCAACGATTGGTGAAGAAGGGACAAGACACAGAAACAAACAATATAATAGAATAGAATACTACAATACCATACGCATGCATGTGAAGCAACGTTGGATTAGTTCAGGGAAAGAGTCGATCACGTGCTCACCGCAACTTTAGGGTGTGTTTGGTATATATTTGTGCTTTCAATTTCGTATTTAAACGGTTCATTTTTCATCCATCACTCTTAAATAATATCCTTATAATTTAATATTTTATATTAATATTATTCATTAATATTTTTTAAAAAAATATACAAAGTAAAAGAATTATGATAAAATAATAAAAATTCTCCTGTAATTTTCCAAATTTACTGAAATTCCTTATGATTCAAAAATTATAAAATTTACTCCATCCCATCTGAAACCAACTAACAAACAAAGGCGGATTCAAATACTGACAAGGGGACTGCAGCTCCCCTCACCCCACCCACCTTATTTTTTAAATGTATATATTATTATTATTATTATTATTATTGTTAAAAATTAAAATTAATCAAAAATATTAAAAATTTTAGGTCAAGTGTATTTGTTTGGAATTTAAAATTTGAATTTAGATTTCAAATACTAAAAAAATAAAATATAAATAATAATTTGATATAATATCAATAAATGGTATGAGATATTTTAAATAAAAAATTAATTTAAAATAATATTAAAATAAAGTGGAATCTGATTTAATTATTTAGGAGAAAAGTAAGAGAAATTTTCTTCAACTAAAACTTTTTACTATTTATTTGATTTTAAGCAGTATAAAAATAAACATTGCAATATTTAGATATTATTGTTTTATTTATTTATTTTTTTTTTGTCGTAAAAAATCGCTACTGATGGCTTAATTGAAAAAGCCAGTCAGAATTGATTTTTTTAAAAGATTTTCTAGCCTTCTCAAAAAAAGATCCGAGCTATCTTGCGATATTCGAATTAATTAAGTAAACGGAAAGTAAAATTAAGGCTAATAAAACAAGAACGAAGTGAAAATCGAATAAGGAAACCGTAAATTAATTTAAAAAAAAAAACTGTAAAAAGTCTAGAAAAATACAGGAAAAGTAATGTAGAAAAAAAAATTAAAAAAGAAAGTGAATGACGAATAATGGCATGTCATTTCTAGGATGGTTCGGTACGATTACCAAAACAGTCATACCGTATACCGTACCGAACTATTCGGTATGTTAAAAATCATACCAATACTATACCGAAGTTTTCGGTATACCGAATTACGGTACCGGTATTTACCAGTTCTACAGAAAATTTCGGTACAATATCGGTATATACCGGTTATACCGAAATTTATCATAAAAAAATTAAAAAATTTTCCTAAATAATCTTAAAATACAATTAATCAATAAAATCAAAAGGACGGCCGGCGAGGTGGACGCCGTGCGTAATCGTGTATTGTGTTATGTTTGTGACTGTGTGACAGCTTTATCTGCGTGAAGTAATTTGGATTGTGGAGAAGAATTGAGAATTTAGAGTTACAAATTTTCTGCTAATTTTGCCCATGGGCCTTATTACTGACTTACTGTTACGGGATAAATTTTTTTTTGAAAATAAAAATATATATTTATATTAATAATTAAATTATTTAATTAAAATTCTATCGGCACGGTATAACACCGAAATACCAAACTTTCTGAAATGTCATACCGATACCGTACCAAAACTTTCAGTACGGTACCGATACCGTACCAAAATTTTCAGTATATCGAATTTTCGGTACTTTCGGTAAGATACAGTACGGTAAATCAATAATTCGTTATTTTCGGTAGGTTTATCCATCCTTAGTCATTTCTGATCCTTTGATCTTGCATATAGAATCTTCTTATTTCTTGTTTAATTTGTTTGGATAAAATATTATCCCTATTTTTTCTCGAACAATTCATCCACCTTTCTAACTACTTCTTTGACCTTTCTACCTCCATTGGGCTGCTTCCGAGTCGAGCTAGACTTCCTTGAACGATGGGCCAAACGGGTTAGCAGGTCCGGCTGCACCTACATTGGGCTGGCCCCAATTAATTGTTTGAGTGTGTACAAATGCCCCCTGAAAAATTTACCTGGACACAATTAACTTGTAGTCTGGATAATTTTGTTAAAACTTCCCGTGTTTGGATCGACTGGTGTGCGCGAGTTTTGAATTTTCCATATAGTCAACTCATCTGTGTCAGATCATGTCCCGTACCAAGGTCATTTTTACCTCCAAAATCTCTTTTTCGCTGCTATGTCCACCTTTTAGTTAACCATAGGTAGCCAACATCCAAGATCTACGTACGGGAAGGTCGATTTCTGCTTATTCGACCTGTCCAACAATGTTTTTACATTCCGTAATGTCGTAGCCAACCATAGTCTGATTATGCTTTCATTCTAGCTCCCAAAGAGAAGGATAGAACCTTTTAAGATGTCTTCCATTGATAAACGTCTTCAGCTCCTCCCTTTCGGGCTCCATCAATCTATATGTGGCGTTAGATGACTTAACCGATATTATAAAAGGTCGTTCCCATGTGGAGGACCATTTCCCGAGCTTCGCATCTTTGGAGCATTCCGAGAGAACGACATTCTAGACCATGTCACATTTCTGGAAAGTCTGAGACCTCACGCGCTTTCGGAAGGTCGATCGGCCTTACTCTTTTGATGTCGAATGCGTTCAAGAGCCTGCAGTCTCTCTCTGGGCAAAGCGTCAAGCTCTTGGAACAAGGTCTACTCCTGCTCTTCCATCGGCAGCTGGATCATTTTCACGATCCGGAGAGAAGACATTGATCTCTAACGGAAGCACATCGTCATGGCCATAGGTCAGACTATAAGGAGTGCTCCTGATTACAGAGGATTTGGCATTCTAATATGCCCATAAAGCCTCTTCCAAAGTATCATGCCAACCCATTGGGTTATCCTCCAGCGCTTTCTTGATAATGAAAATCAAGATTTTGTTCATCACCTCGGTTTGCCCATTAGCCTGAGGGTAGTACAGAGAGAAATGAAGCAGCTGGATTCCGTATTGGGCTGAAAAAGCATTGAACTTTGCGCTCATAAATGTGGTCCCTTGGTTGGTGGTTATCGTCTTTGGAATGCCAAACCTGTGAATGATGTTATTCTTAATACAGTGTATGATATGATTATGTTATACCTTGGCCAATGGAACGGCTTCCGCCCACATCGTGAAGAAGTCCGCAGCTACGAGAATGAAGGAATGCCCCTTGGAAGATGGATGATGGATCTTGCTAATGATATCCATCGCCCACCCATGGAAAGGCCAAGGTTTGATAATCGAATGAAGTTCCTCTGCGGGGATTTGTCGAGGTGGTTCATGGCGCTAACATGCTGGACATCCTAGAGCATAATCAACACAATCCTGTGAGATTTGTGGCCAAAAATATCCGTGGTGAAGGATTGTCCACTTCATAGCGGGTCCAGTCCTATGGGCATCTCCAACACCTTCATGGACTTCGGCCATGACCTTCATAGCATCCTCGTGACCTAGGCAAGGTGCTAAAGTCCCATCGGATCTTTTTGGATACAACTCCCCATCAATTTGATTGTATTTTAGAAGCTGATGGCGCACTGCTTTGAAGCGACCTTCCCGGGTTCTATTAGACCTTCCAGCAGCGGGGTTCGCCAATCTAGGTCCTGGTCAGTCTGTAAACATTCGTATCTTGGTTGTATTCCTTCTCTTTTAAACCCGGAAGCGCATTGCGCCAAGTCGTTTGCCTCTAAATTCTCTTTCCGAGGTATGTCCTCCAACATCACCTTCGTGAGCTGTTGAAGAAGGTCATGGGTTTCTTGAAGAATGTCCTGAAGCCGTGGTTCTTTGCACTTGAATTCTTTGAGGGCTTGTCGAATAAACAGCTGAGAATCCCCGCAAATGACGACTTTCTTAACCTCTGCGATGAAGAATAGTACCGTCTCGGACTCAACTTGGTTATTCGTGACACCTTGCGGAAGTTGGTGGGCAAAACGCCATATTTTTCTTTTTGGACTGAAGATCACCATGCCTACTCCGGATGCTCCCGAGGTGCTGGATCCATCAAAAGTAACCAGCCAAGGTTCCAGTCCCACGTAATTCAAGGGGACTGTCTAAACCATCCCAGGATGTTCGGCCAAGAAATCAACGATAACTTGTCATTTCACGGCCTTAAAGGGTTGGTATGTGAAAGCCAATGATGCTAGTTTCAGCACCCATTTAACTAAACGGCCTCTGAGGACTGGCCTGCTTAATAAATAGCGTAGAAGATCGACTCTG